TACATTAAAATTCAATAATAAAAGTGTCTTGTTACATAAAAGACATGATTGCTCAAATTCAGAAAAAGAGTTGAAAATTTAAAAGAACTATTATGATCCTTTGCCTCTCCATAAAATTTAAGCTATGGGACTGCATTTAAGAGTTAGAAATAAAAGGGTTGATTCACCTCACTTCAATACCTTTACAAATGGTCACTTAAAATACCTCAACATTAAATCTACCTTATTTTGTTGAATTTTAGACATTATTTAAATCCACGATTCTCTGAAACTTTGTAATAAATATATACTAGTGAACTTTCACCTTCTTAATCTAATCTTTTGATTACCCAACACATGTGGAGAACTGACAAGTTTACATTTCTCTCTTTAAATTATATTTCAGTAGAAACACACATGAAAAGATAATTATAGCAATTTGTATTAAGTGTTCCAGAGAGCAGCTTTGTCAACTTTTTTTTTTTTTTTTTAAATCATGTTAGTCAGTATAGCTGATACCATAAGAACTCTCTAGGCTGTTTCGGAATGTGAACAGCTTTAGGACAGTGGTTCTCAACCGTCTTAGCTTCAAGGCACTCCACTGTTAGACTAAAGACATGCCTCAGAACATGCCAGTTCTTAGCTCTCACTCATTTTTTAACTACAGAAGAATAATAGTGCAATTCTTCAGCTAAAAAGAAGTCAGAAAGACCTTAACAGTTCAGAATGTTTTTGACCCTATGGATTCATACTTGAAATCTCCGGATTAAGGTCTTGAATCATATATACAGATTTGCAGACCTAACAGTGCCCATAGGACAGGACACCCTGCAGCACCCTTAACCTGTGAGACCCTTTCAAGAATCACCGCTTTATGATGCATTCACTCACATTTTCCAAATTTAGGGTCTAATATAATTTTAAGGGCTATCCATTGCTTTTACAAAGCTCACAAAGTTGCCCTCTATTAAGACATGTCAGTTTATTGTTCAGAACAAAGATAATTATATCTCAATGCTAGGAGTGCACCAATAGAGATTTTTTGGGCTGATACTGATAGCTGATTTTTAACAAGGCATATCAGCCAATACTGATCCAATTGCTGATATGCAGGCGGCAGCTTGAAGAGCAGCATCTAGCTGGCAAGTCTATTGTGGTGGAAGGGGTGTGACAAGGGGGAAGATCGAGGCCCCCATGGTAAGGGAGGGAGTGGGGCTGAGACAGGGGCAGGTGCTGCCTAGCTGGGCCAGGGTGCAGGATGGAGCTGCGAGCAGCTTATCTGAGGGGACGGGGGGGGGGGGCAGCTCCCACTGCTGCACACACCCCAGAAGGGCATGGGGGGCATGTGCCCCCCAGATCTGTGAGGGCTGCTGCTGCGGACTGGGACCAAAGCAGTGCTAGGGTCTTCCCGACAGGGGCTGGGCCAGGCTCTGCTCAGGGTGGGCAGCGGTGGCGCTGGGAGGGGGCTATGGCAGGGGCTGCAGTCACCCCAAAATTCACTGTAGCCCCCCCAAACCCCCTTCCCCAGCGCTGCCACCACCCGACCCCAGTGTAGCCCAACCCAGACCCTGCCAGGAAGAGCCTGGCACCACCCTGGCCCAAGCTCGCAGTGGCAGCCCACATACAGATCTGGGGCCACACATCCTCATGCCCTCCCAGGATGCGCACAGCAGCAGGGGCTGCCCCCACTTCCCATGCCCCCCGGACAAGCTGCAGCTCCGTCCTGTGCCCCGCTCTGCCCCAGCTTGGCAGCACCTGTCCCTGCCCCTACCCCAGCCCTAGGCCCAGCCCTACTCCCTCCTTCACCACAGGGGCCTCAATGTGCCCCCCCCACACTTTTTCTTCCCCCGCCCCTTCCATCACAACAGATTTACCAGCTGGACACTGCTCCCCACACTGCTGGGCTGTGCTCCTTGCTGCCTGCATGCTGCACTATGGCCACATGCAAGCACAAGGCATTTAATTGGCCACATTGGCCAAAAAAAGCCAACTGCCAATACAGCCAATTTTCCTTATATCAGTACCGATCCGATATGGGACCAATGTATGGGTGCACCTCTACTCAATGCAAAGTTTAATACCATACTAAATGTTTAATATTTTCTCCTATACAAGATAACCTTATCTTATATATAGATGCAAATATTAAAGTACTGTCAAATGTACTATGTATAAGATTTTTCTTTATGCAAAGTAATTAGTATTAGCTTTAAGTCTGTTCCTAAAACTCTATAAATAATTATGAAAGAATTTCTAAAGTTTCCTTTTCCTCTCACAGAAAAATAGAACACCACTCTAAAAAGGGATTCAGCAACCTATCAAAGTTTCTTTTACCTCCAAATTCCCTACATATGGTGGGGGAAGACATGGAAATCAAGGCTACAGATAATTCAGGGGTCTTGGTACTAGACATCAATCCTCAACATCATTCTGACCTCATGTGTGTTTGAATCTTGCAGAACAACTGAGTAGAAGGTACACAAAAGATAATCTTTTTCACAATTTTAGACCATGGCCTTTAATCATTTCATCTTAGTCTGATCTCACATAAGACAAAAATCAAGACTGATTAAAATTCCATCAGTAAACTTGTGTTCTCTTCACAACTATTATGATAACCCTTCCTAGCAACATTATAAATTAATATTCTTCCTACCAAAATCCTACCTCCATTCCCTTCCTGATTGTTCATCTCAAGAAGTCTGCTCCTCTTCCTAAAGTCTGTTAGCGTCAATGTTTAAAAGACTGTAGCATGCATTCTTTCCCAACCCTTACAACTGAGTTTGGGCCCCAGTCCTGCAGTTTACTTCATGCAGATACAGCTGTATGCTCTTGTACACAGCAAGAACATACAGCAGAATACAGTGTTGGGAACTTCATTTTAAAATTATTCATGGCAGACTGTAGATAAAAGTCCCAAAACTAAAATTTAAAAAAAAAAAACCTTTGTGACACTGCACTATGAAGAATGTGCACAATCAATAAGTCATACTGGAACCACAAATCAATAAGTCATACTAGAACCCCTCAGAATAAAAAGTAATAAACAGTGACAGCTTCAAGTTGCTAGGAATAAAACAACAGCAGTTGGTAATGGTATTAAAAAAAACAAAAAAAACTGCCTCAAACATTTCCTGTTGGAATTAAAATTAAAATCCAAAGTTGAAAATAAATGGTGAAAAAAAATCCTCTAGGTGGTGCTCTGCTTATGTTTAAAGGTCTAGCACAGGGGAAGGCAATTATTTCAGATAGAGGGCCACTTAACAAGGTTTGATGAGCTTTTGAGGGCCGCATAGGTAGCCCTGCCTCTTGACAGCTGCCCTACCCCCTGGTTGCCATCTTGGGACTGGAAATCCCACCCCTAACCCCTGACCTTTGCCACCAGAAGTCCAGCCCCTCAACCTCCAGAAATACTTTTTGGGAAGGGGTATGCTTTCTTAGAACCAGAAAAAAACCAAATCATACACTAGAAGTCTAACATATACTATAATGTATTTTAATTTTATTACAAAAAATACGTTTGTCATGATTTGCGTTTGCATACTGTATATAGAGGTGATTGTATAATAACTAAAAATAAAATTCTTTGTCTTGAATATTGTGTGTGGAAGTGTGGGTTGGGGTGTGGGTGTAGGCTGGAGTGTTGGGGGGTGTATGGTGAGGGGGGTTTGTGAGGGGCTGTGGCTTTGTGTGGGGTGGCACAGAGTATGTTGGGGGCTTGTGTATATGTGGGGGTGTGGAGGCAAGGTGTGAGTATGTGGCATTAGTGGGGTGTAAGGAAAGGTGGGGAGGTGTGGGGACTGACCCCACACTCCCCCCATGGCACAGCAACAGGCAGGGGTGCTTGGGGTCTTTGTAACTGGCCCAGGCACTGGTGCCCAGTAGCACACAGCTCTGACCAGCACTGCACATTGCATTGAGGGGCACATTGAGGGTCTGTCTCTATTGCCAATGCTCCCCACCACGCATGTGCAGCCCTTGAGCTCATGAGGCATGGGAGGGAAGCCCTGCGTGCTGGAGCCAGCTGCCTGTGCTGCTCCCTGCCGTGCTGGTCCTGGGACTCCACGGGGAAGCAGGGGGCAGGGCTCCCCTCCAATTCCAGAGCAGCATGGAGTGGTGTGGGCACGTGGCTCTAGCACAGGACTTCCCTCCCAGGCCATGGGAGTGCAGGGACAGAATGTGCATGGTAGGGAGCTCTAGCAATAGAGGCAGTCCGGTGGAGGCTGCGCCCCTCACTGTGATGTGCAGCGCTGGCTGGAGCCTTACGCTGGGCACCAGCAGCAGGCACAACCACCCCTACCTGCTGCTGCTGCCTGCCAGGACTGCGCACAATGGGGTGGGGGGGGGAAGTGTGTCAGGGTATGCCCACACCCCCCTACCCTCCCTCACATCCACACCTTGCCCACCCAAGCTCCGTGTTGCCACTGCTCCCCCATGGGCATAGGCTCTGCGCTGCCGCCAGCCTCAGCCCCACACACTATATATTACTAGCCATAGTCTCCTGAAGGATAGTTATTCTCTGATATTTATTAAAAAGTGCTTTATTCTACAACAAAAATCTTTTAATATGTTATTCCAAACATTACTAATGTCCACTAGCTGTTTTACAAGAAGCAAATCACAATATTAAACAAGCTCAACATGGATAGCTGTTAATTTATCAAAAGGGTAATCCAAGTTATTATGAACCAACTCCAATATTGTTTATTTCACCATCTAAACTGAAAATTTAAACTTCCTCAGCACTTAATATCTGAAAAACTATCAGTATATAAAATTAAAAAATAACATAAGTACAATACATGTTTAAGCAATTTTAATCCAAACTTTTATCAGTAATACCAAAACACACTGTACAATACTCTATTATCCTTACAACTTGAATTGTGTGTAGGTTCATGAATGCAAACCGTATGCTAAACAACGTATTTACAAGGAAAGCACAGAGGTTGTGCCATGACCAGTATAAACAAACACAAGTGAATGAGAAAGATGCGATGACGTGCTACCAGGCTCCTTACCCATTGCTGTTGTTGCTGGAGCTCCCTGATGGTATTCTCAGCTTGCTCCAGTTTAGTAATGGCCTCATCACTCTGCTGTTTGATGGTGGCCAGCTCCCGTTTTATGAGGTAGTTTTCCTCAGCCTCCTGGGCCCTTGTCACTTGTCCCTTTGGACATAATTTTCTTTTTAAAGCAATTGAGGACAGATCCAAGAAAGACTGCCTTTGTGATGTCTAGCCATACTTTGCCATAGGGTTATGTCTTAAAAACAGCACTTAGGAAAGTGTAGCAGTTTAGTACCACTCTAGTTACTTACTAAATTAGGGTTTAGCATCTTTTAGCAAGTTCAATTATTTACTTGCATTCAATAAATTCAGTTCATGCAGTATTATTCAGTTGTACATGCATGGGCTTGTTAAGAGTTTGCACTGTTCAGTTTAAGGGTGAGTGTTAATACAATGCCACAGAATCCACTGATTAACAACATACTAAAATTTCAGTTATGTTAGAAAAATATAACGTGCAGATATCAGGTTTGTCTGTTTTAATAACCAAAAATAAACAAATTCTAATAAAGAATTAGCTAAATATTTTGCGCCCAAATTAACAAAGTGGGGATATATTTCAAATAAATGCATGTAAATATGCATGCATTAAAACAGTATTTTCTGTTTTGAGGGTGGATGGAAAGTTACACAGTAAAATACTAAAGGACTATACCTGTATCAATCTATCTGCCAAGGAAGCACTTTCCTACAAAAGGAAAAATTCAGATAGGAATAAGGGAAAGAAAAAAAAACAAAAACAAAGGAGTGATAAAAGTGAAAACAACAAGAGCAGAGAGAAAAAAAGAATGCCCAAATTCTACCCACTTTAAAACAAAAAGTAACCTTGGATGCATTCTCATATAAGTTGATGCAAATCAATTTTGAAAGTTGCAGAATGTAACTTTTTGTAGTATCAGTCTATACTATTGCATTTAGCAATCAATGAAGAGGTCCCCAAAGGTGGATTTAAGAGACTGGATATCATAATATAAACCATCATTTCCTGCTGTAATTTACAGAAAATAATAATCACTAAATGAAATATTCTGAAGTTACCAGTTGGATGTAAAATATTTGACACAGGGTCCATAATGGAAGAGGAAGGCATAATTTGAGCATATTAAAAGCTCCGCTAAGTGCAGTACCAAGACTTCCAAGAGAAAGCAAGAAAGTTAAATTGTACAAAATGTCAGGAATGAAAAATAGTTACAGCAGAATTTACTAATATTTTGCTTTGAGTAACTGTTAGAATTCACTAATTTACTAGTTTATAGCTTGACTTCCCTTGCATAAGTTCTACAACAGAAAACTTCTCAGAAATATCTAGGAACTCTGATAAACTGAAATGCTTTGGATGGACTGTTTATCTAAAGATCACACTGAAGATTCCATCTAAGTAATTTTAAATTTAAAAAAAAACAACAACAACAAACTTTGCAGAAAAGTTTTTCTGATGCTCTGCAGAGGATGCATTCCCATGCAAATTGGACAAAACATACAGGTCCACTATCAAAGTGTAAACTGATTGAGATTTAAAAAGAACTATAGTTTAACAGGGATAAAAATGTCATTTGGACAAGAAATAATGATCAAATGTTCCTCATTAGGATGTTCACATAAAAAACAATTAAATTATATATACTAGATATACTAGAGTTTTGAGAAGAAAAAACAACTATTTACCTAAACTAGTGACTTCTATTGGTATGTAACATGTTACTTTTCCACAAGTATTCCCCATTAAGAAGGAATTTCTCTTCAATTAAAAGGATATTTAAAGATGGAAGATGCTATGCCAACCACTTAAAGCTGGAGTTGAGACTTAATCCCTGAAGACACAACTCTGCACTTCTTGCTGACATACAATTAAATACTCTCATGACTAGTACATCACTGGCAGCTTGCAAAATCCCAGGAAATTACTACTGCTCAAAAACTAGTATGTGCTCTACACATTCATTTTATTGAATTTGTAGAAACACTTATAATATTTTAAGGCAGGCATTTTGCAGTCTTGAACATATTACTGGATCACAGACTCAGATTTGACACTAGAGGTATGACTGGTTATGAAAGGAGAGGCTCTCTGAAAGCAATGCCTACTTTTTGACAATAAAATCAACAATGGATCATGTTGACTACTGCACTACAGAAGAGAATTAGTTATCCAAACCACTGACTCTTCCAAATGAAAGACATATAGCTAACCTATGTGCTGAGTGCTACAAGTGAGAGCAATGCCAACCTAAAAAAAGGATCTGTTTGAACAGCTGAGGGGAAAACACTAAAATAATCAAACTGAAAAGGTTATACACACATTGTATATACTATATACTTAAATGCTACTTTCATATGTATTTCATTAACTAACACGTTGATTTTAAAACTGGTTTTAGTCCTAGTTAGTCTGGATAAATGACACTCCACTGTACCTTCGTCGTTTCATAGTTGGTAGGGTCGGAAGGGACCTGAGCAGACCATCTAGTCCGACCCCCTGCCGTGGGCAGGAAAGAATGCTGGGTCAAACGACCCCGGCAAGGTGTCTATTTAGCCTCCTTTTGAAGACCCCCAGGGTAGGAGTGAGTATCACTTTCCTTGGAAGTTGGTTCCAGATCCTACCCACCCTGACTGTGAAGTAGTGCCTCCTGATGTCTAGCCTGTATTTACTCTCCATCAACTTATGGCCGTTATTCCTTGTTACTCCCAGTAGTGCTCAGGGGAACAGGGACTCTCCCATTGCCTGCTGGTATCCCTTGGCCAGTTTGTAGACGGCCACCAGATCCCCTCTCAGCCTTCTCTTGTGGAGGCTGACCAGGTTCAGGTCTCATAGCCTCTCCTTGTAGGGCCTGCCCTGCTGCCGCCTGATCATGTGAGTGGCCCTCCTCTGAACCCTCCCGATATTGTCCACATCCCTCCTGAAGTGCAGCACCCAGAACTGGATGCAGCACTCCAACTGTGGCCTGACCAATGTCATATAGAAGGGGAGGATCACTTCCTTGGACCTGCTCGTGATGCATCTGTGGATGCATGACGAGGTGCAGTTAGCCTTCCTGACTGCATCCCCACATTGGCGGCCCATGTTCTTCTTGGAGTCTATAATGACTGCAAGATCCTTTTCTGCCTCTCTGTGCTGACGAGAAGGGAGTTCCCCTGCCTGTAGGTATGATGCTGATTCTCTCTCCCTAGGTGCAAAATAAACAAAAAACCCTTCAAAAATAAACAAAAAAACCTTACAGAATCAAAAGAATTGTAGGAAAGACCAAGGAACCAAAAAATCTGTCTATAATGTTCATATCTATTTGAAAGTATTCCTTTCTTTTTCATAGCTCTGGCTCAATTTTCTAGTGCCGTACATAGTTATGCAAGAAACCAGACTATAGGTATCAGGTTTTCTGGTCTGAATTTGAGTACTCCCACAGGATTTCTACTTCCTAAAGCTTCATATAGCAGTAAATCTGCACTGTTTAATTCATATTGAACACTGGCTGGCTCTTTATTCAAGCCAATGGGTGTCTGGTACCTTAGGCCTTCCAAAAGTGGAAGATTCTCAAAAGGAATTCATCCATAACACCAGAACTCTCAACACTGTATATATATTCTAATCTTTTTGTTCTTCTTATAAATCCTTCTGATACAGTGATTATTGCAAAAAGATAAAATTTGGATACTTTTTAAAAGAATATGCAATCCTGTATATTTAGAAATATACAGAAATTTCAGTTTTAAAAGCAATGTTCACCAAAACAGTACGAGCAGTTTCCATATTGGTATTTTATTACCACCTGGCTATTTGGCTAAACACTGTTAGAAAATACTGCCAATTAGTACATAAAACTCTAACATAAGTTTCTAGTTATGATAGTTCCATATTTTCTATTTAGGTTGTGGCGATTATGAAACAGGTCAAAGCTAGTCACTTATACTCACTTTTTCTAATGTTTCAATGCGTTGTTTTAAGAGTCTATTTTCTGTTCGTAACCTCTGCAAAAGAAGCAAGACTATATTAAATGTGTGTGTATGAAAAGATATGAACAAAAAGCTCAGATAAATAGTATTATCAATTTCTTTAAAATCGCATTATCAAAGTATTATGAAAATTTATACCAGTAGGTAACTCAGAAACAGGAGGAATGGAGTGGTCCAGCTGCACACCTCCCCCTCCTGCCCCCACATTGATTTCTCTCCAGGCAAACTTTAAAACCAACAGCCTGTGAGGGGCATCAACACTTCTATTCAGACAGTGCTGAGAAAGTCATCTCCCTGAATCCTGTTCATCTCACAGATGTTAATGAACCCCTATCCTTTGTAATGATTTTATATTGCACTCTTCAAACTATCAGCAATGTTGCTGTCTTTTAACCATTCCTGGTAATTTCACCCTTCTGTTTACAGCCCTGCAGACTGTTTTTAGCTCTAGCTAAAAACCTTAATTCAGCTGTGGTAATATTAACTCAGGTGTAGCAATGGCTGACAGTGAAATATTGAAAGCACTGTCAAGATACTCAAGAAATCTAGATTTTGTTTTAGGAATCTAAATAAGAGGTATATATTTAACTATGATGACAGCAAGACTAATAATACTTTTTGGCTGTTTTGATTATTTTTTGCCTTGTGTCTTGTGATTTTTTAACTTTATATACATCTAGCAAATCAGTGTCTATTCCAATAGTTATATTTGCATAGCATTAGCACCCTAGCATACTAGTATGATATCTAATTTCCCTTTAAACGGAGAAAAAAAATGTGTTGTCTCATATGTGATGATGTGCCACACCATCTGCACCCCCCTTTTCAAAATCCTAGATCCACCCATGCTTAAAAAAAGCACCTGAACTAAGGGTAACAGAGATAATAAATTAGCATGCCAAACAGGTAGCATGTGCCACAGTAAAACATCACAGTATAACTACAAAACATTCTGAAGAAGAAACTGTTCAAGGCTATGGTAAGAAACACTAACTTTGCAAGTAAGATTAAACAAAGTAATACAATTATAAAAAAGTTATCCTGAGAAGTATTTACCCTGCTCATCCCAAGAGTAACATAACAGGAGAACTGAAAGGTTTAAACAGACCTACACAAAAACACTGATGCAAGTTATAATCCTCAGCATTTAAACCAACAAGGACAGATACTGGTATTGGTCCAAGAACTTTTTATTCAGCAAGGCTGAGAGAGGTATAGCTGATATATTTACATTTTTCTCCTCAATGCAGATTAAAACTTGTAGCAGCAGAACAGCAAATTAGGAATAGTGAAAGAAGAAGAAAAAGAAAAAGTTATGGGCCCACAGCTTTGCAAGCCCTTCTTCAAACTGGAGAACGGCAAAATGTCTGGTGAGTGCTCAGCTCTCCTCTTGGAAAAAAACTTATCCTTGAAAACTTGATCCCTAGGATTAAAGTAACTGGGTGCATCTATGCAAGATGCTACTATGTAGTGGTTACTGCACATTATTTAGTCCTTGTATAATCTTTTGCCATTTCTGAAAATGTTGGCCAAAATGTAGAATGATTTGGTACTGCTAAAGTGGCTGCTATAGCAGTGTTTCCAGAATGTATCCAGATTAAAACTTCACAATAACTAGGTGCAGCAAGCAGATACCCCCTGTTCCACATAAAGAATCAAGCACAAAAAAGGGGAAGTGATTTTAGCAATAACTGTAAAAAGTATGTGATAAAACCAGAAACAGTACTCAACTCTCCCAAATTCCAGTCTTCCACTGGAGTCAGTCATCTGCTCTTTTAATTACCCTGACTGTTACACGTCCATGGATAGGAAATACATAGACAGGTTTTACTGGTCTCCAAAGCAGTGTGAGATTTACATCTGGGCTTTAGAGAATTTGACATGCCAGGACGCAGAACAGACTAAAATGTGTTTTGTTTGTAAGTTTTAATGATTTGTGTAAAACATTAAGTTAACTTTATACACTCAAATGAAATGCAATGCGCCTCTACACTGATCAGTGACCATCACACAGCCAGCACTTATCTGCAATTAATTCCGTATCAGGGACCACATTAGCAAGGAGGTAATCAACTGACTGCTGAGGTAGATAATACCAACAATAGGAGTTTTGCTTCTCTTTTCAACAGGAACATTGTTGGAAGCAGCTGGAGGGGCTTGGGACCACAGAGATGTATTTATAAATACAAAAGGTTTTGAAATTAATGATCCACCTACTGGTCTTTCCCATTACAGAAAGGGCACATTAGCTAAGGCTGCAAACAGGTGTCACCTTTGTGAGGCCATAAAAATGTTTATGGCAGCACAAAGTGAAAGCAAGCAGACATCCACACCTTTTGTCATGCCACAAATGCCCAAATTTGTGGCATCAAAAAAAGGTAGTACAGTATTAATTTGTGCTGATATTCCTTGGTGAACATCTGTTTTAAGGCAAGAGAGTGGAGGCAGCTTGGGCCTGCCCCTGCTCTCCAGATGCCCTAGGCAGGCGCTCCTGGGGCTTCACAGGCCCAATCCTGCATGGCCCAGGAATTCCCTTGCAGGGAGCAGCAGGGACTCAACCCAATGAAGTGGATCAGTTGTGCCAGGATGTGTCCCAGGACAGCTGATCCACTTCATTTAGCAATGTCTGTTTATAGATTACCAGGTGCTAAAATAAAATGACAGCCCTAACATTTTGAAGCAATCTGGAAACATTCATTATTAAGGCCTGACTATTATACTATATCCCAGAGTAGTAAACTTGCTACATGCCTGCACATCCTTTCCAATTACCACTGAGTTAATCTCCCAATAGGATTTTTGGAGGATTATTTTTTTTAAGAGCTAAAAACATAGATCTCATTTACACTCAGGTTCTAGAAGTAGAGAGGGTGATACGTTTGGGTCCAATACATGTTTTGATTTCCTCATTAGCTTTAATATTCACATAATTAAAATTTAAGGCATATGACTGTGGCAAGATTACCATTTTCAAAGAATTTGGTTTCCTTTTTGGATAAGGATGCTGATATATCTTTCAAAATGAACTCTTAGCATCAGAGGGACTGGGGTACTTCATGTATTTCAGGATTTTTTTTTTAAAGTTTCTCCTCCAACAGCAAGTTGTTAGGTTACATCATTGACTGTCAAAATGTATAATGCTTTTATACAGCCCCATGCCTCCTCCAGTCAGCAATGAGGGGTGAGGCTATATGAAGGGCAGCCCTCTCCACCAATCGGTGGCAAGGGGAAGCAGGATCACACAAAGGGCAGTCCTCTTGGCCAATCAGTGGTGGGGCAGGGTGGGAGGTCACAATGATAAGCTCATGAAAATGGCAGTAGGCCCTGCAATCAGCCTGTGAAATTGCCCATCTGCCGCCTTGATTTGGGTAGGTCTCTAGGTATAAGTGTTCAGAAACTGATTTAAACCTGTAACAGAACAGAAATTCAGCATACATAGACAGATCTGGATGGATCCATCCTTGGCAAAGTCTTTGAAAAAATTATCAAGGCTCACATTTGTGAGAGCCCGGCAGGACAAATTATGCTGAGGGGAAACCAGCACGGGTTCATAGCAGGCAGATCGTGCCTGACTAATCTAGTCTCTTTTTATGACCAGGTTACGAAACGCCTGGACACAGGAGGAGGGGTGGATGTCGTATACTTAGACTTCAGGAAAGCCTTCGATACGGTATCCCACCCCATACTGGTGAACCCCATACCGGTGAACAAGTTAAGAGGCTGTGACTTGGATGACTACACAGTCCGGTGGGTGGCGAATTGGCTAGAGAGTCGCACCCAGAGAGTCGTGGTGGATGGGTCGGTTTCGACCTGGAAGGGTGTGGGCAGTGGGGTCCCGCAGGGCTCGGTCCTTGGACCAATACTCTTTAATGTCTTCATCAGCGACTTGGACGAGGGAGTGAAGTGTACTCTGTCCAAGTTTGCGGATGACACAAAGCTATGGGGAGAAGTGGACACACCAGGGCAGGGAACAGGTACAAGCAGACCTAGACAGGTTGCACATATGGATGGAAAACAACAGACTGCAATTCAACAAGGAGAAATGCAAAGTGCTGCACCTAGGGAGGAAAAATGTCCAGCACACCTAC